CTGGCTGAAGTCGGACGCTTAACCGACTGCGCCACCCAGGCGCCCCAGAATAAGATTTTTTTTAAGTTTACTTATTTTGAGAGAGAGAACACGTACTAGTGGGGAAGGGGCAGAGAGAGCAGGAGAGAGAGAGAACCCCAAGCAGTCTCCCCAACACCGGGCTCGATCTCATGAACCATGAGATCACGACCTGAGCCGAAATCAAGAGTTGGACACTTAACCGAATGAGCCACCCTGGTGCCCCAAAAAGAAGTTTTTAAGAAATGGTGCTGGGGCGCCTGGGTGGCGCAGTCGGTTAAGCGTCCGACTTCAGCCAGGTCACGATCTCGCGGTCCGTGAGTTCGAGCCCCGCGTCGGGCTCTGGGCTGATGGCTCAGAGCCTGGAGCCTGTTTCCGATTCTGTGTCTCCCTCTCTCTCTGCCCCTCGCCCGTTCATGCTCTGTCTCTCTCTGTCCCAAAAATAAATAAACATTGAAAAAAAAATTTTTTTTAAAAAGAAATGGTGCTGGGACAACTGGATATCCACGTGCAAAATGAAACCAGACCCCTTCCTTATACCTACACAAAAAATTAACTATAAGTGGACCCCAAACCCAAAGGTGGGAGCTAAAACTACAAAACTCTCAGGAAAAAAACACAGTGTTAAATCTTCTTGACCTTGGGTTAGGCAAAGGCTTCTGAGATGCAAATCAAAAGCATGAACAACAAAATTAAAAAATGGGTAAATTGGACGTCACCAAAATTAAAAACTTCTGTGCTTCAAAGGACATAATTCAAAAAAGTGAGAAAACCCACAGAAAGAGAGAAAGCAAAGCAATATGCAAAGCATATATATGGGAATGGATGTGCTTCCAGAATATATAAAGAACTCTTACAAGTCAGTCATAAAAACGACAAGCCAGGGACGCCTGGTTGAATCAGTCGGTTAAGCGTCCGACTTTGGCTCAGGTCATGATCTCACGGTTCGTGAGTTCGAGCCCCATGTCGAGCTCTGTGCTGACAGCTCAGAGCCTGGAGCCTGCTTCGGATTCTGTGTGTGTCTCTCTCTCTCTCTCTGCCCCTCCCCCGCTCATCCTCCACCCCCTCCCTCTATCTCTCTCTCTCAAAAATGAATAAACATTAAAAAAATTTAAATGACAATCCAATTTCAAAAGGGGCAAAACACTTCTGCTTCTGGGAAGGTGGGCTAGCTAGATGTGCATTTCCCCCACGCCTGCTGAGTACAACCAAAAACCTCACACATTACATATAAAATAAACAAGAAAACTCTGAAAGGCAGAGAGAAAAAGGTGGATGGGCCAGGGGCCTCAGGATCTAAGGAACGGCATGATGATGAGTGCCCTGGGTTTTCTTTTTGCCCTACAGAGTTCAATTTGGGGCAAGGTGGAAACACTCCCAGGCACAAGCAAAAAAGAGCCCCCAACAACATCCTCCTGTCTCTAGCCAAAGGACCAAAAACGGGACAGCCTCGTAAGACAGAAAACTTATAGACAATCCATAACTCGCTCAAGGCTATACCAACATGCCCAACACCCCTGCCGGGGTGTGTCAGTGGAACAGAGAAAAGGAGTGAATTAAAAGATAGGACGATAGAAATGAGCCAGTCCGAACCCGCAGACTGAACAGACGTAAGGAGTCTCAGGGCCCCGTGGGACTCCGACAAAAGATCTCACCTTCATGTCTTCAGAGTCTCAAAGTAAGAATGGCTGAGAATTCCCCAAATTTGGCAAGAGACATAAATCCAGAAGAGCGAACCACCCTAGATGTCGCCTGGTTCATCCCCACCCCTCGACGGACCAGGCCCCGGGGTCGGCTGGTGGTATCTTTAAATGTCCCTAGGGCTCAGGGACTCTCTGAACTTCTCTTAGTAACCTGCTTCAAAGCCCAGTCATACTTGTCGGTGGACGGTCTCCCTATTCGAATGTTCTGTGTCTGTAGCTCCGGCTTATTTCCCCTTTTTGATGCTTCCATTAAGACCTCTAAAACCCCAGCTCACCTTTCTTAAAATCGGCTGGGGAGCCACCAACATTCTGCATCCCCAGCCCACAATCCTCGGGTCACTCCTTTTCACCTACATGTTCCACATCCCGCCGTGGCTTCTATTTCTGAAGAATTCTCTCCTGGCCTGGGAGCCAACCTGACTTCTACATGGGCTGAGAGTCTGAGTTACCCCCCTTTGGTTTTCTAGACAACCAACATCTCCGCCACCATCAATGTGAGCTCCGGCAGGGTCGTTGGTTCGGTCACCACGGGCAGGTAAGAGGCCGTAGGATGAGGGGAGGAAATAGGGCAGGATGGGGAGAACCCGGCAGTGACTAGAGCATCTAGTCTGTTCGCTGATAGGACTGGCATTGACCCTTGGAAACAGAGATCTCCACGGGGGCTGGCCTATCCTGTAATCCGGGTGCCCCTTCGGAAAGGCATGTTGACATGGCATGCATGAAAGTCATGCTTCCCTGTCCCCTCTCAGGCGTCAGTGGAGGAGCCGGACTTCCGCAAAGGGATAACTTAGGAATCGTAATCTACCTGGAAGACGCGGGGCTCTGCAGGGACTTTGTATAAAAGATTGAGAAAAACTATCAGTAACCTGCACAGGAGAAAGGGAGATTCGGGATGCAGGGTTAAAGACGCCCCAGCCACTCCTTGCTGCTCCCCTGCCCAGACACCCAGTCAGTAGGCAAGTCCTTACCTAACCAGGGGGCCAGTGGGGGCGGGGGGGGGGGGAGATGCAGGCTTGCGGCAGGAGGGAGTATATCCCCAGCGAGGGCTGGCGCTTCCCCTGGCGGTGTCCTCCGTCTGGAGCCCTCACCTGTGTCCCGTGTGTCACTGGCTCTGGGTGCTGCTGCCTGCTGGGGAACAGGTGCAGCGGGTGCGTCAGAGGAACTGATTCCAGGCTTCGGGGCTAGATGCGTGTTGGCTGATAAAGTGCACTGACCCCATTAAGATGAACATCTTCTTTAGAGGCCTTTAAACAGAGAAGCCCATGGTGAACATGTGGGCCGTGCAGAGGTCCCAGAATTTGAGTTTATGCATAAACCTGGCTAGGGGTGGGGTCGCAGTATCCGAGCGGACAGCCAAGGGCTTGGGCTGTGGAGAGACGACAAAATGAGGGGGGACTTAAGAGGACCTCACACAGTGGTTTCATCAAGGAACTAGCAGAACGATTCTGCCCTATGAGAAGAAAGCAGAGATCAGCCCAGGGTAGTTAGAATCCCTGAACAAGAGAGCCCGGCCAGCAGCCAGGAGGTTCAATGGGGAAAGCCGGGGGGGGGGGGGGGGGGTGGCTGCTACAGCGACAGCAACCGAGGTCCCTGGAACAATATTGTCTGTTCCCAGACAAGAACAATGATAATTGTTTGCATAATTATCATGCAACGCGTGCTCATGGCAAGAAAAAGTTGGAAATTGCAAAGGTGTAAAAGAAAACCACCCCGAATCCCCCCTAACCCTGCCACGTAGTACTAGTTTCCCGCTTCCTTCCGTTTTTTGTGCCGTTTTACATAATCGGACGAGCAGAGCATTAGTTTTTGTATCCCGCTTGTTCCAGTTAGTGTTTGTATCGTCACAATTTATGTAAGTTGTTGCAGATGCTCTGCCAGCCTTATTTTTAACAACATCGCTTCTTCTTAAATCACCGGGCATGCTTGAAGGCCTTAAAAATGCGCCACACTGCAGAGAAACGCTGGGGTGCCCAGGCCCCGGGGAAACGGCCTTGCCCGTGGGCACTGGGTGCTCCCCTCGGGTAACGGCGAGGAAGTAGCGGTCACGGCTCGCGGTGACCCGTGCCTCTCTTTCTCCACGCAGTAAGCTGAAATTGGAACTGAAACACTCCAACGTCCGTTACTTCAATGTGAGTTGTTTTCCCCAGCACCTCTTCTGCGTGTTCTCCGAGCAGGGATTCGGCCCGGGGGGCGGGGGGGGGCCCCGGCCACAGAAAACGCATGGTGGAAACGGATGCCGTGTCTAAAAGTTAATCCTCCAAGAAGGGCGTTGCCTGAGGGCCAACGGAGGCAACAGGACGTGGACATCAAGAGCGTTGAAGGAAGATAGATCTGGGCGCTTGTACCAGATGTACCGCTGGGTTACTGCGTAACGTGGGGAAAATGACTTAACCTTTCTGGGCCTCAGTTTCCCTGACCGTAAAATGGGAATACTGATACCCACCCCAGCTACTTCGAACGGGAGCTATCACGTGACACGGGGCAATGAATTTAGTAAGACCCTTTGACAAAGTGCCTCACACAGAGTAAGCTCTCGGTATATATTCAGTGCCGTGGTATCATGATAATAGGAGCCCGGGTCCACAACACCTTACCCAAAGCCCTTAGAGCTGATGGGCTTCAGAGTTGAGAACTTTTGACAGGAAATCTGGGGCGTCCAGCATAGGTTAGCTAACTCTTTCAGGGGGATCTGGGGCAGCGCTCTATCACCAAACACATTAAAACTTCTGCAGCAAAATTTTAAAGTGTTTGCACAGAGTGGAGTAAGAACCACGAAATATCCCGATGGCAGTTCAGGTCCGGGGTTGCCATAAGATGAGCCTGTACATCCTGATGGCGAAGGAAGGTCAGAGAGTGGGGTTTAGGAGATCGGGAGTAAGGAGCTGTTTGTTCATCTGCAGCCAACCTGCTTTGGGAGTGGGGTGGCATGTCGGTGTTTCTGGAGGCGAGGGCCAGGCAGATGTCCTTCCCTCGGACTTGTTTTCATTCACATCTTGTTTGTTCCCTTTGCTCTGCGCCCCCCCCCCAGGTGGATCTGATGGAAGCCATCCTCAATTACTACGCGCTGCACACCCTGTACCCCTCTCTCAACGGTAAGCCTAGCTGCTACCGTGCAAACGTTGAATTCTACCCTTTCTGTAGGAGTCAGGGATCAGTCGGCCTGCCGCTTACCAGGCTGAGCCCCTCTTCTTCCAGGACCCCGCGCTCATGGAGCGCACGCTTTGTTGGGAAGGCAGACGTGTAACAGGCAGTGACAACCTGCGTGACAAATGCCTTGACAGAGGAAGCACAGGGTGCTGTGGGAGCTAGGAGGAGGCATTGAACATGACTTAGAGGTCGGTCCAAGCTTCCAGGAGGTGAGGGTCAAGTTGAGTCCCAAAGCACAGGGAGTTGGGTCAAGGGAGGAGGGGCATTCCAGGCAGCACCTGGAGAACATCTGGAGTTGGCACCCCGGGGTTCTGGGCCAGGATGGGTGACTGACTTGCTCGGTGACCTTGACCTTGATGGAAGCAGCGCTTGGCCCAGTAGCTGCCGGAGAACCAGCAGGCCTCCTTCTACGCCATGGCCTTCTCCAGCTGGCCTCACCACCTGCCTTTTACCACCACGAGGTCAGAGCAGGAAGTCATCCTGGAAAAGAGAGAGCGGCAGAGATGATGGTCCTCGGGGCCGAGTCCCTGGTTATAAGTACAGCATGTCCCATCCCGGGCCGCTCTGGCTGGTGGAGGCTGTCCACATCTGTCCCCTCCTGAGGAAGCCGCATTTGCCAGGCATTTTCATCTACATGCCCCGCTCCCCACAGAAAGCCGGCCCCGAATCCAGCAGCCTACCGCATTTCAAAGCAGCCCGCCCTGTCACCGGCCAGCGGCCAATGCAGTGAGCTGTGTCCCCACACGTCCTCAGCCTTCTCCGTCCAACCCGTGTCTCTCTGCTGTTTATCTTCCAGCAAAGCTTGAGGAGGGCTTCCCTCTGCCTCTGCCAAGGGACACCTACCTCAACAGTTTGGAGCTCCACGTCCACAAGGTCAGTGAGACGTGGGGTCTGGATGGGGAGCCCTAGGGCCTCCTGGGAGGGCTGCTTTCGGGGCTGGTAGACATTAGGGGGAGCCCCTGATTCCCGCTTACATCCTGGACCTAATGTTTATAGGAACAAATATATTTGTTTTAAATTTTGGAGGGCAGACGCAGGTTTGGATTATGTGGAATCTTGGCTTCGTGCAGAAAGGCTCAGTTGCCAATAATTCAGTTCAAACACCTTAACTGCACATCAGCAATGTGGAGGGCCCTATACCCACGTGTGACAAGAGGAAAGCGTGCACAGGGGTCAGATTAGACGCACCACTTCCGGGTTGATGAGCCAGAACCTCCTTGGTGGTGTGAGAGTCCCCACTGGGCCACCAGCCAGCCTTCCCTCCCACAGCAGCAAGGGATGTTCCCGGAGAAAAACTGACCAGGCCTTTTAGCGCAAGAAGCACGTCAGGGGCAGGGACAGGGACAGTGACAGTTTATAACTCCAGAGACACCCATGTCTTCAGTGTTCATAGCATGTTCTTACTCCAAGGTAATTCTAGACTACATCCTTATAAATTAATTATGCGAGGGGAGTAAACTGAGGCAGCACCCAGAGGCACGTTGTTCTCTTGGGAGAAAAAACTTCTGGGGGACGGACAGTGACATTCATGCGTGTCTTCCAGAACTCAGCGGATCGGGAAATGCAAATAAATTCCCAGGGGGGCAGGCAGCTGAGAGGGACAGTGTTTCTTTTTTTTTTAATTTTTTTTAATGTTTATTTATTTATGAGACAGAGAGAGACAGAGCGTGAACGGGGGAGGGTCAGAGAGAGGGAGACACAGAATCGGAAACAGGCTCCAGGCTCTGAGCTGTCAGCCCAGAGCCCGACACGGGGCTCGAACTCACGGACCGCGAGATCATGACCTGAGCCGAAGCCGGACGCCTAACCGACTGAGCCACCCAGGCGCCCCGGGACAGTGTTTCTAAAAACCTCCAAGACCTAAAGGCATGGCCTTTGCACTTGACCCGGTGTTTCGGTTCAAGTGAGAACGTGCCTCTAGACCCAGTGGGGGTTCCCCTTTCGGGAAGCCCCTCTCCTACGCTGCTCACAAAGTGAGCTTTCTTGTGGGTCCTGTTTGCCTCCTCTCCAGAACTTCTTGCTCTTGGGGGCCAACCTTGAAGAGGCCGAACACTGAAGAGGAGTAGCCATGGCCGGAGGGGACGACATCACAGCTGGGGCTGCCCCTGCCCCCGTGGGGGTCCGGAGGCTGCAGCCACACTGCCTCCACTCCCGTGAGGGCCCCCTCCACATGGACACTAGTCACCGGGGAGCCTGTGGCACCTGAACACACGCCTGAACAGGTGACCCCTTCCCCCCCCCTTTCTCCTCCTCCTCCTTCCCGTGTCCCTTCGTGGTTTCTTTACGGCTGCCCTTAGCCTTACTCTGGGCGGCTCGCCCCTGGCTACCTACCTGCCGGCCACCAGAATAAACTTCAGTAAAGGGGGAAAGCATGAGCACTGTCTAGTCGCCACACAGCTCAAAGCACCTCGCTCACCACGAAACATGAACTTAGTCCCCTGTGTCCTTTGGTGTCGTGGTTACAGGAGCAAGAGTCAGACAGAGGGGGCTCAGCGCTTCCTTGATGTGTGGTATTTATCGAAATGGGAACGGGGCGCCTGGGTGGCTCAGTCGGTCGAGCGTCCGACTTCGGCTCGGGTCATATCTCGCGGTTCATGGGTTCCAGCCCCACATCAGGCTCTGTGCTGACCGCTTGCTCAGAGCCTGGAGCCTACTTCAGATTCTGTGTCTCCTTCTCTCTCTGCTCCTCCCCAGCTCACGCTTTGTCTCACTCTGTTTCTCAAAAACAAATAAATGTAAAAAAAAAATTTTTTTTTTTAAAGATCCTTTAATACACTAGGAGTAGGATGACAGACTTCCAAATTTTAAATAAATCTGTCTTGAACCATCAACCAACAGCATAGCTCTGATGAAATCATAGAAGTGTTCTGTTTTTTACCTCGGAAGGCCCAGGAAATGAGCCAGCAAGTTCCGATGACCTTACCCAGGAAAATCCAGGGTGCCTAAGAGTGAAGATGGGAGATGGTCAGCAAGGATGGTGAACGATAGCGAACCAAAGTGAAATATTTGCCTTGAATGCTCAGTTAGTTACCAAAGGCTGATGTCCACCCTACTGTGTTCTGTGCTGATAAACTCCCTGTCCAGCTAGCCCCCACTGTCCCCTGAAGGCAGGCATTCCTGCCTCTCCAAGCCAGGCTCGGGCATAAGGTCTTTTGTCCAAGATCATTTCCTCTAGCATCTCCATTAGAAGTCTGGCACCATCTGTCATCTCTCATGGAGAAGGCAGCTTTGTGAGGGGTCATTGTCATGTGAAAAACCTGCAACCTACACCATCCCCTTCCAAGACAATGGGTGACTTTTCTGATCTGACCACTTCTGTGTCCCTAGACTCTGACTTCCAACCCCAGTCCTTCTGGGACAATTCAGCAGGAGTCCTCCCGAAAGCCTGTGGGTCACCCATCTTCCTTCTCCACCTCCATTCTGAGGGACCTTTCTGAAGCCGGAAAAACAGCTGGGCCCGTCCCTGGCGCTCCCTTGTCTGCGCGCACAGGACAGCCCATTCAGGATTTTCCTAACTGGCTGCCATCAGAACGCTTCATTTTCAGCGGAAATCTGTGATCAAAAATTGACCCATTCGTATTTTCAGAGCTCAACATGTCACCCTGATTGCCGGATGCCTCGGTTTGGTGGCATATTTTCTTAAAGAATCCTGTTGAAAGTTCTGCCCCTGGGTGGCGGTGGGGACAGCCTGCATTCAGAGGGGGTTAGGTATTAGGGAGCCCTCCCCAACCCAGCTCTTACGAACAACAAAGCTGACATTTTCGTCTCCTTCTGCCTGATTCCTGCTTCTCACCTGGTGTGACTCAAGAGAATTTAAAGTGACAAGATCAGGGGTGCCTGGGTGGCTCAGGCGGTTGGGCGGCCGACTTCGGCTCAGGTCACGATCTCGCGGTCCGTGAGTTCGAGCCCCGCGTTGGGCTCTGTGCTGACGGCTCAGAGCCTGGAGCCTGTTTCGGATTCTGTGTCTCCCTCTCTCTCTGACCCTCCCCTGTTCATGCTCTGTCTCTCTCTGTCTCAAAAATAAAGAAACATTAAAAAAAAATTTTTTTAATAAAAAAAATATTCAATGTAAGCTCAGGGAGAAAAACAGCTCGATAGTCCTCCCGTCGTCTAGTTTTCTAGAGTCTAGAGAAAACAACAGATGTTTACTTTGCTAATGATGGTAATTAACAGAAATGGCTAAGACAGTATTAGGCATAATTACAGGGAGATGCAAGATAACACAGGTAGTTTGCTTCAGGGAATTATTAATTTCCCAGGATGGTAAATTCACTACGATACATACATTGCTTTTTGTAGTATGTTCATAAGGTTAATTATATTTTGCAAATAAGCCCCCCACTTTTTAAAGTCTCTAAATAATAAAAATAATATAAAAGGTTATACTGTAAACGTCCACATTTTAGTAAGAATTTTTGGACTTGGGTTATAATACCTACCGTGTTTCAAAAACCAAAAACCGGTATTAAAAATTTTTGACAAAGTTGGCTCAATGAATTTATCCGTAAGGAGAAAGGTTTATAAATCTTTTACTGTACGGTTACATGGTTGGCACATTCACAAAACTAAAATTAGAATTTAGGGGGTTTTGGTTAAATTAACTATTCTGTACCCACTTTTTTTAATCCCTGTAAAATTGACCTAGTGTTCTATTAGTTTCAGGTGTACAAAATAATGCTTTGACACTTCTATACATTCCTCGGTGCTCATCATGGCCAGTGCACTTTTTTTTTTTTTTTTTTAATGTTTATTTTTGAGACAGAGAGAGACAGACCATGAACAGGGGAGGGTCAGAGAGAGAGGGAGACACAGAATCCAAAGCAGGCTCCAGGCTCTGAGCTGTCAGCACAGACCCTGACTCGGGGCTTGAACTCACAGACCGTGAGATCATGACCTGAGCCGAAGTCAGAGGCTCAACCGACTGAGCCACCCAGGCGCCCCGATGGCCAGTGCACTCTTAATCCCCTTCCCGGATTACACCATGTACCTCCCCACCCACCTGCCCTCTGGTAACCACTGGTTTGCTTTCTATAGTCAAGTTTGCTTTTCTTCTTTGCTCATTTTGGTTGTTTCTTAAATTCCATGAGTGAAATCATATGGTATCTGTCTGATTGACGTATTTCGCTTAGCATTATAGTCTCTAGCTCTATCCATGTCATTGCAAATGGCAAGACTCCATTCTTTTTTTATGGCTGATTAATATTCCACTTGTGTCCATCCGACATCTTCCTTACTCGTTCATCTGTCGATGGGACACTTGGGTCGCTTTCCTATCTTGGCTACTGTTAAGTAACGCCACAGTAAACACAGGGGTGCATATATTGTTTCAAGTTAGTATTTCCATTTTATTCGGGTAAATATCCAGTAGTGGAATTACCGAAGCAGGTGGCAGTTCTATTTTTAAATTTTGTTTTTAAACTTCCATACCGTTTTCCACAGTGCTTACATCAATTTACATTGCCATGAACAGTGCACAAGAGTTCCTTTTTCTCCACGTCGACAACTTATTTTTTGATACTAACCATTTTAATTCACATGAGGTGGTATCGCATCGTGGTTTTGATTTCCGTTTCCCTGGTTAGTGACGCAGAGCATCTTTTCGTGCATCTGTTGGCCATCTGTATGTTATATCTGGCATAGTCCGGATTCGTTTTAATAAAGCTCCTTATTTTTTTTTTAAAGTTAAGTTTCTAATAGGTATTTACTTTTTGCTGCGATTTTTAAAATACTGGCTCATAAGAACTTTTTCTTACATTTGAAAATTGTGTTCATATATTGTCCTCTGACAATTCTTCCCTTTCCCTTTCCCAAATTCAGGAAAAAATAGTGAAAACGTCCTTTAGTCCTAAACTGTCTTTGGGTTTCCTTGAATGGCCACCAGATTACACAAAGATTTGCCCCGATCACCTTAGAAGGGATAAAAGATATAATTACATCTTTTTTTTTTTTTTAACATTTATTTATTGTTAAGAGACAAAGAGAGACAGAGCATGAGCAGGGGAGGGGCAGAGAGAGAGAGGGAGACACAGAATCTGAAGCAGGCTCCAGGCTCTGAGCTGCCAGCCCAGAGCCCGATGCGGGGCTTGAACTCACAGTGAGATCAGACCTGAGCCGAAGTCGGATGCTTAACTGACTGAGCCACCCAGGTGCCCCAAGATATAATTAGATCTTATCCATTCTCTAAGTTTTAGTCAACTCAAAACTCGTGAGAGCTCTTTGTTTTCCAAATTTAGGATTAAAAAAAAAAAAAAAAAACACGCAAAACCAACAGAAGAAGTTCCATTTTCCTGAGTTATTTATGTATAGACCATGTTAATATGAAAACATTTGAATAATTTTGTACTTTTCGGCTTAAAAGAAACATGCTCCTGCCAAGCAAAAAGACGGGGACAAGAACGGTCTACAGAGTGATTTGAAAGTTTCGGCATCCCTGTCTATCAGTGACAGGGTACACACTTTAGGATATAAGCCTAGAGCTACTAGTCGATCAATGTCTTCGCAGCGTATATGTTCTCAGTCCAAGGTAATCCTTCACGACATCCTCAGAAATCGCTACCCCTCAAAAGAGGCTTTCACTCTCTTCCACTCTGACCACCTATATTCGTTACAATTGTTCAGTCTTACCGCCAGTAGAGGTAAATGGCTGTGGTCTTCAACGCTGGTGGGAAAAATGTAAAAGCCTGACCAATGATGTTTCTCGTGCATGGCCTGTCTACAGCTGAATTCTGAGAAAACTGTGTAGTCTGAAGCCAAAGCCTCACGGCCCCTATACACCCCTCCAAATGGATTGTATCAATGGTCTCCAGTAAGGAGGTAAGTGTTTGCATTATATATTCATTCAAGGACAGATCCAAGATTTCTTTTCAGAAAATCACAGCTTTGATAGGGACCGAGAAAAGTTCATGTTGTAACAGGCAAATAAATCCTTATTGAGCTCTGTCCCCTGTGGTCTTTATCAGACTATTAGTTTCCCATTTCTCCTCGAGGCAATTTCGTGTGATGTTTTCTCGAAATGTGCTCATCAAAATATAAATTTTTATATACAAAAAGTGATCTATATCATTCCCTAAATTTGGCTTTACTTTCTGCTCTAATTTTTATTCGCATTACTTCTATTTTCTTATTACATATTAAATCTCGGTCTTCTATTCCAAGCATCGAGGCTTAAATTTCTCCTTAGTAATTACTTGAGCTACAATTCACAAACTTCGGTATGTAAATTTTTATTATCATTCCGTTGTCACTATTTCTAATTCTGCTTACGGTATCATCTTTGATGAGGTATTTTCAATGTTTTTAAATTTCCCAAACATAGGGATTTTTTTCAGACCTGTTTTTGTTGTTATTGCCTTTCTATTGCAGTGCAAATGTA